CTTTCCCTCAGGATTATTCCAGAACGTCCTCTTCCTGAAAGTTGCTGCTATAGGTGACCAAAATCTGGCTAATACCAGTGGATTCTGTGCAGTTCTGCTTCAAAAGATTCTGGGCCTTTACAAGAGATGGTTGCAAACCAGCCGTGTGATCTTGGGAAAGTTTCGTGTACTCTGGGCTTGGGTTCCTTTCTATGGTGGAATGAACAGTGGCCTCGGTGATTTCCACACCACTCGACACTGACAGCTGGGCTTCAGAATGGTTCGCCTTGGAATATGGGGCACTGGGCTTGTGACCTTCAGCCCCAGTGACCCTGAGCCCATCATGTTGAGGTGGGGAATTCTCCACTTTCCAGGGCCTATCAAGACCCCAGGAAGGAAGATCTAGGATGGGACGCACTCCCAGAGGTGGAGATCTCCTGTTCCACCAGAACAAGGGTTGTCACGTGGCCTGAGGATGCAAGGGCTTTGGTTTAGCCTCAAGTGTCAATCCCTTCTTTATCCCCCACCAGACATAAACTGGCTACTTCACCTGTGATAACCATGTAACTTGCCTAAGTGCAGAGAAAAGCTTGCTTTGAGGGCTTGGCAAAAGGAAGGTAAACAAATTGCACCAAACCTTTACTAACCAGAATAGCCAAGGGACAGTAGTATTCTCTGTTTAAGTGGGTGCTGCTGAGCAGGCAGGTGGACAGAGTATCCTCTCTGCTTAGATCTTTGCAGCGTCAACTCCCATTCTTGTAAGTCCCCAGCTGAAGTTTCTGTGGTGGAACTCTGATGTTCCAGAGCCTGAGCCTTGGCTTGTTTGACTGGGTGTCCATCCCTATTGCTGCAGACTGGGGTAGAAGTTAGCAGCAGCTGTATCCACGCAGGCAGCTACTACAGGTAATGAGCATCCAGTCTCTGGAGGTGTGCAAGTAGAACAAGAAACATCCTTGACTAAGGATATAACAGTCAGAGGGAATTCTTAGGTGGAATGATGATGAACTAAATCCACACTATGCCATGTGTGGTTGGTGGGCTAGTGGCAGTGGGATATCACCTGGGAGCTTGTTGGAAATGCAGAATCTCAGGCCCAGACCTATTAACTCAGAATCTACACTTGAACAAGTTCCCTCAGAGTGCTTATATGCCCATTAAAGTTCTTGAATTATGAAACTAAATGATCCTAGATCCCTAAAATCTCAGAATCTCTAAGATTTCATAAAAACCATGCCAGAAACTGGCCCTGAGACTTGTTCTCTTTGGCCTATAGGGTGATTTTATTTTGAGCTAACATTTAAAAACCAAGAGATACCATATTTTAAAAATGTATACCAAATTTCCCTCTTCTCTGAAATCAAAAGCACCACACAGGGGCAACTACTGACTTTCTGCTGTAACGAAAGAGCGATTGTTCCTTCCCCAGGGTTTCACTCTTCACTTCTCATGGTCCTCACCATTCCCCGTGGACTCCAAGACACCAAATTTTCTAAACATCTTTGTACCTGTACAGCACCTGCAGGCATTTGAACTCAGGATTCCTGGAGTAACTGATATTAGGGTTGCAAGTCCTCCTGGAAGTTGCTTCACCTGATTTGTAAAATTCACAAGCTTAGTGGTTTTCCCTTCTTCCTAAAGGTAGAGAAAGAATGTATGAGAAATCTAAAATTCAGCACTTGTAGGTCCTGGTTATTTAAGGTGGTGCTGCTATAGTGAGTAATTTAGTGCAATTAAAAAAAAACATTTTAACCGAATTTGGAAATGATGAATTAAAGATTTTTTTTTAAACCCTGATGTACACACAATATTTTTAAATTATGTACATCTTTAAACTACTCTCTTCAGATTTTCTCTGTACTTAGGTCCCAGGGATTGAGGGCAGACTCTGCATTGCTGGTGCTCAACCTGGCAGAGTGGATGTCGCTCTCACTCCCCAGCCTCTTCCCTTCCACTCCATCCCTTCCTGCTCCTTCCCTTCCTCCTGCCTGTGAGGGGCCTGGGGTAGTTAATGGCCTGTGATTCAGTCTCTGGGAAGACTCTACCTGGGGTGCAGTGGGGTTAGTATGGGCAGGCTGAAGCAGGGCACTGCCCAGAGGAGGAGGAAGGTGAGCTGGGGCCCAAACCCAATTTGGGGTAGGAGTGGGGCGGGCAGGGCTGAGCAGGTCCCTTCCCACTCTCAGCTTAGCCTTGCTACCAGGCCTCAGTCTCAAATGAACAGGTGTGACTGGGGGAAGAGCCTGCTAGAGGATAGCCCTGTCTTCCTCTCCAGATAGGACAACTCAGAGACCACCTACCCCAGAGCTCACAGAGTGAGTGGGAGAAGAGAAGGGGAAAAATTAAGCCTCAGTCTCTTCTTTGTCCCCCAGGCTCCTCCTTTCTCTATCCCTGTCTCTCCCTCTTTCACTCTCCCCATCTCTCTACCGCTAGTCTCTTTCTCTGTCCTTAGTGTCCTCTCCATGCCCGGCAGTTTCTCCCTGCCTTTCTCTGTACTTCCTCCATTTCCGTAGATCCATTTTTCCTGGGCCCAGTCAATATCCTAGAACCCTGCTAACTTCTGACTAGAGTCCTCTCTACCTACTACCTACCCCCTGTTGTTCCTGGGACCTGGGCAACTCCCAGCCCAGAGAGCACCTGGCTTGGTCACTAGGCACTCCCCACCTTCAAATGTGTTTACACTACCTCTGCCAGCTGGCCAGTGCCAGGAGTCTGCAGTTGGGGCTGTCCTGGCCTTTGGGATGGCTCTGTAGCTGGGACCAGTGATGGCCAAAGCAGGCATCTCCTGCAGCTGCTGCTTCAATCCCATATCTAGGACTCCACATCGTGTCTCGGGGCTCACCTGGCGCCTTTTCTCTGTGCTGCTCCTTAGGGTCTGGGCCCTGCTCCCCAACCCCACCTGTAGTGGACCCCAGGCACTGCCTTTTGGGGGATCTGTGATGCTGAATTGTGAGGCTGTGTTTACCGGGATCTTCCGGACTGTGCACTATGGATATTAGGCCATGTGCTGTGGTGTCGGGTCCTGGGAGGATGGGGGCTGAAATAAATACATACTTGCTTCCGTTTCATGGTGTGTGCTCCTTGTGGCCTGGGAGGTCCAAACACCCCATTTCCAGAGTGTTTAAACCTGGCATTGCCAAGGACGGCTTCAGATAGGGGTGAATCTTAGAGATGGCCTACACAGGGGGAGGTGAGCTTGTGCCAACACCCTCCTAGAAACTCCCTTGCTCAGGGGTCTGCCTGTGGGGACCAAGCAGGGAAGCCTCAGGCCTTTTAGTCTTCTAGAAAATACCAGGGACTCTGAGGCTCTGGAAATGGGTGGTGTGGCCTCATCCCTCAGTAGTAGGCAGGAGAGAAGAAGGAATAGAAGGACAGAAATTTTTATGGCCATGACCCATGACCCATGGAAGCCAGAGGCCAAAACTAAAGGAGCAGGGTCCCCAAAAAGAGAACTTAAGGTCCATTGGTCTCTGGTTAGGACCTCACCAACAACCCACGTTCCACCTCTGACCCTTCAAGAGTCAGCCACTGGGGTATTAGAGCAGGACAGACCATCCCAAAGCCACCAATGGGTGACCAGTGCATTAGTCATTCATTTTCTTTGAGCCCAGCTGTTCCTGCTCTAAGCCCGATGTTTCTGATATGATGACTCATAATGGACATTGGTTGTTCTGCCTTCCCAGCATCCATCCTGCTCAATGAGGGGCAACCATCCCTGCCCCACTCTTAGTCACTGTGGAACTGGGTAGAACTAACCCCAAACCTCCCCTTCCAGTCCTGAACAATCATTCCATCCCTCTGGCAGCAGGGATTCTTCAAGGATAGGCAGGTGACCTGGGCCAGCCAAAAGAGACTCAGTGCTGAGACATTGCTGGAAGCCAAGTGAAAAAGTCTTTTTTCTTGGGGGTTGCTGAGAAGATGGGACAGTGAATGGTTTTGCCACCACAAAGACAAGGAGCAGAAACAACAGATGGGCAGAGACTAAGTCTGTTGCCACGGTTTGAGACTCTACACTTATCTGTACCTGAAGCCAGATCCAGCTGGCTTGGATACCATGGACTAACAAACTGTTTTCTTTGATTAAGCTAGATTAAACTGTGTTTTTTGTTGTTAATAGTCAAAATTGTCCTGATAGACAATTTTATGGAGTGCAGTGGGGTTAGACTGGTTTAATAGGAAAGAAAAGAGGAAGACATGGCTTGGGAGGGAGGAGGAGAGTAAAAAATGAATGAGGGAGAGAACAACAGATTCCAAGCTATGACTCCACAGAGAGTCAGCCCGGACCCTT